GTTGACGGACATAGGTGCACAAGATGGTTGACGGACATAGGTGCACAAGATGGTTGACGGACATAGGTGCACAAGATGGTTGACGGACATAGGTGCACAAGATGGTTGACGGACATAGGTGCACAAGATGGTTGCAAAATTTAGCGCCTGTAACGAAAAACCCCGAAAAAAAAGACAAAACGAAATATCGTTGTTTGAACAAAACAGACACGGATCCACAACATAGACACTTATTCCTCAACAAAGACACTGATTCCACAACATTGACACTGATTCGAAATAATAGATGTTTATTTCGAAACCTTTACACTGATTCCTCAATATAATTCCTGACTCCACCACTAAGATACTGGTTTAACAATATAGAAGCTGATTGAACAACATAGGCACTGACTGCACAACACTGACACTGGTGGCACAACATAGACACTGATTGCACAATATTGACACTGATTGCACAATATTGACACTGATTCCACAACATTGACACTGATTCCACAACATTGACGCCGATGGCACAACATAGACACGGACGAGTGTATCCAACGCGTGTTGTCTCCTGTCTTCAGCCTGGGCTGTCTGCATGACGGTGAGGGAAACGCGTGCCAGGGACAGGAGAGATTCATCATGTCTGCTTCAACGTCCCCCGTCACAGCGAGCACTGAGCTTCATCCGTGGAAGTTCTCACCGTGCAGCCTTAAAGATATGGAGCAGTTTTTAACGACACACGGAAACCCGTTAGTAAACACATTGTTACATGTACATTAAAAAGACCAAAAAAAACAACAATAAATATATATATTTAAATAACAGGGGGGGGGTCGCCAAGGTGGTCATAACAAGCTCTACAATAGAAGTTATAGAGTTGTCAGGTAGTTTTTAAGAAAAAATTGTGGTCTTTAGAAATAAGAATGAACGTCTCAGAAGCACGCGATGCTGTGGCGTCAATTTTTTGGCCAAAGACAAAAAACAAAAATCTACGGATATGTTCTTGGGGTTCAAGGTTATTACACTGCCTGTGTAAAGCTCGATATTGCCGTTACGTAAAATATGAATTATGAGTCAGGAGCGGTTATTTGATGCACAAGCGTTCATTCACAGACAAATGGCGGAGTGTCTGGCCCAGCGGTTGGTTGTCAACGAGACCGTCCCCACCATCACAGGCCGCATCGTGGGTCAAGAAGTGTCTGTCGATGTGCAGTGTCAACGCATCTATGGCCCCACGTCTAGTCTGTGTAGGGTAGGTCAAGGTTGTATTTGCATTAGTGTCAGTGATCCTATGGACCCTTCGCTAGACTACGTCGGATAGGCAAATGGTGTACTGAAATTAGTATCGGTGATCCTTTTGGCCCACCGCTAGACTATGTAGAGTAGGCAAACGTTGTATTCCCATTAGTGTACGTGATCTTCTGGTCCCACCACCGGATTGTGTATTACGACTAAACAGTTGTCTCACAATTTTCGCCCCAGTCCAAAAAAAATATTTTTTTTTGTGAAATAGCAAAATTCATTCCTACCGTTTTTCCTCTTAGCTGAACATTAAATTTACAACACCTTTGGTCGTTCGACAGCTTTATCTGCTGTCTTCTTTTTTCAACAGAAAATGAATAAACAAAGTTTTTAAGCTACTTAATGTTGTTTAGTAGTCACAGTTTCCCAAGTGGAGTCAACATCACGGCTGGCCAGCGGGCTGGAGAGACCGTTGCTATGTGGTCAACATCACGGCTGGCCAGCGGCCTGGAGAGACCGTTGCTATGTGGTCAAC